CTGTAGGAATCATGGGTCAATGCTTGACAGAAATGACGTGAAATATCACTACAACACGGCAACAGCGCGCGGAGCCCTTTCCGTAATTAGACATTCGTTAAAAGTTGACAGTTTCCACTTCTAGTTCTTTAGAGGTTAGGAAAGTCTGCTAAAACATAAACATTAATCGTATTGGAAACGAACTTTCAAATTTTAGACACCTCGATTGAGGAGGCGAAGCCCAACTCCGGATGTTTTCGGACATTCGGACGATACATCGGTCCTAAAATGCTCTTTCAAAACAGCCGTTATCTGAATCCGTTCAAAGACCATTTGTAACTACACAAATTGTGAACAACCCGGTATAGAAGCCTTTGGCTTTAACCAATGATTAGAATGCCAATACAGTCGTTCAATAACGGCACAAATTTGATAAAATCCTCAGCTTTCGAAGGCTATAAATGCGATATCCGGTTAGCGTGAGGACATGCATGTCATGCAGGTTTCGGCGCCGGCAAATCCAACGGCTTTGGCAGTGAATTTTCGAAAAATTTAGGAGTTTTGTGGCTTACCTGATGGCCAAATGATAGGCGTATGGCCTGAACCGACAGGGGTACATGTCACTGAGCACCGCCAACGAGTTGAGATTGAGGAAGTGCGGAAAGCCGACGTGGTCGAGCCGCGCATATCATTAGGAATGTTGATTTTGATTTAATGTTATGTAATAAGGAATCCTTAATACTTGGAAGGCACGCTAATTGCGTGTTTCGGTACCAATCAACGAAAAGCGTCGAGCTAATCGCCGAATGATGGAAGAAGCCTTAAACGGGTTGTTTGCTGCGTTTTGTCCAATTTAGAAGGATTTCGGATTGACTGATCAAATGGCGAATGCACTCAATTAGTGCTGAGTGACCAGAGAGAGATTTTATTTGGAACAATTGGGAACTTGAAGAATTCTTTTTATTGCTTTAATATACTTGCCTATTTATAGAAATTGCGCATACCAAATATCAGCCCTCAAATCGCATTATTTAACTTGCAATAAACAATTCAAGTTGTGACCGCACCGCAGGCGATTCATTTGAAACGACACTAAACGCGCGGGAATGGTCGTGACGTCATAGCGCTAGTTCATTCGTTCGGAAGGCAATACGGGAATACGGCTGTCGTTAAATTGTCTGGGTGTTTGACTGTTCAGAATTCGTGCTGTGCTTTATTGACAATGTATGTGAAGATCATTTTAATGTAAGAATAAAAGACGTATTTAATTTTTTCTATTGTATAACAGATAGATATTTTGAATTTGTATCTCGGTTGCATTATAGTAATAGTGAATAATAACCTCAAAATTAGTTATTTGCTAAACTAGTATAGCGAGAGATCAGTATCGGCGAAAGAAAAATATCGCTTTATAGTCGGGTATTTACGTTAAATACCTACTGTTTTTGTCATGCAGTATGAATATTAATACATATTTTTATGTAACTTTTATATTATTTATTTATTCTAGATGGAAGAAGATATTACATTTTGAGCAATACGCACTGTTTGAATTTTGAAAATTTGAGAAATTAAAACCCGCATCTAACATTTTATCGATTTATATAAGTGAAACTATTGACTATTTTGTCCGGAAATCTACCTGTTAGCTTTAACACCGCGAACTTCAGCAAGAGTAAAACTTTCGGTGTTTTTAATGTCAGATGCCACGATAAACATATTCACTAGTGGTAAAATGTCAGATTGTCCTTTTACGAAACCTGCGTCTGTCATTTTGAAAGATTTTCTTTTCCTCCTGTTACACTATAGAAACGTTTTAACGACAATATCATGCATTGCAGCCGCGACGGCCGACTAGCTACTTGACGTCACAACTGGTGACGGCGCGTTACAGGAATGATTTGAATTATACAGTTTTCAGTTGTTTATGTTAATTACAGAGAAATGAAAAATGAGTTTTTTGGTAAACTGTGGTGTTTTTATTAGTATTAAATACGTTTGCTAGTAATATTTTTCAAATTAATTTTTTGTGCAAGTTTCCAATTGGCGTGTTTGGAACATCGATGGCTGGGCAGCCTCGAGTCTTACGCGGCCAAGTTTCCCAAAAAAATCAAAATTGAAAACCTCTCTTAAAGTACTAACGTCGATCGGAATTGGTGTAGTAGTGGAATAGTAACAGTTATCGACCTTCCCACCTTCCAGCTTAAATATTCTAATGCCCGGTATGTTCATGCCTGTACATCTACATGGTGTCTACTGGACAATGGTTATTTTTCTACTTTGCACTATTATTAATAGACAGCTGATAAAACTCCGCCAAGAAATTGAATATCCAACATTGGATGTAGTACTAATCTTGCAATCTAAACTACAAACTCGGTAGTTGTGCTGCGAACTTTGGGCGCGACACTGATAGAAACGCACAAAACCCTGGTTTTCCCATTGGTTTATAGTGGGTTGTTCTCTTTCAGTGTCGTGCGCGGAGCGCTCGGCACAACTTCGACATCAAACAGTTGTTTTTTTCGTAAAGTAAAACGGGGAATGTGTGGAGGTTGTGAACTTACTTCGAGCTCTGTGTGCGCGACAATACTAGAAACACACAAAAACCTGCCTTCTCACTTGGTTAATTGTGCGTTGTTCTCTTCTCGTGCTGTGCCCGAAGGCTCTGCACAACCTCGGCCTCAAACAGAGGCAAAGTTTTTGAGGCGAAAAAGGTTTCCAAGGCAATTTGAAGGGATCTGCGTCAGTTTCGGTTAATTCGTCTTATAGAAATAAAGGGTCTTCCAATAAGAACGACGGTTTTGAATTACGCGCCATTTGTAGTGTCCTGATTTGACATTATAGTATGTCATTGGGTCAACGAATTTTCATTTTGAATCGGTCATCGCGCATCGGACTATTTTTCTTCGAAAATTCAGTTGGTCAAGCATTAACCGTGAGCGGTGTTCGTTTCGTGAAATGTTAACTAACTTTTCGTGCCAAAATTGAAAAATATGAATATTAACAGGATGGTGCAACAGCCATACAGCCAGGGAAACTGTTGAATTACTGCACCAGTCATTTCCTGGTCGTGTGATTTCTCGTTTTGGAAATCGGCATTGGCCGCCCAGATCATGCGATTTAACGCCTTTGGACTTTTTGCCTTGGGGTTTTTTTAAATCACAAGTTTATGTGAGCAAACCAACAACGATTGAAGCCTCAAAAGGTGAAACTCACCGCTGTTTCTCTGAAATACCGCAAAATGTGTGCGCGAGAGTTCTTGAAAATTTCATGAAAAGAGCTCGTCTGTGCCAGCAAAGCCGAGGCGGTCATTTCTCCGAGTCTTCCTTTCATAACCTCATGATGTGTACTTCATTTTTCAATAAACGTTTCAAACTTATGCCACAAATGTATATTTTTTACAAACTTCTTTTTGGGGATTTCGCCTCAAAAATGTTTGTCTTTAAAAAAGACAGAATTTCCTCACGTCTTTTATTACAGATTGATAAATAGTGCTCCTATTTCGCAATAAGA